ATCTTGTCCGACGAACCAAACAGACCGATTCTGACCTGATAATGTCAAACTTGGATCTGGAGGAGAAGGGAGAGAGGTTCAGGTGGGAGGAGGAGGAGGAGGAGGAGGAGGAGGAGGAGGAGGAGGAGGAGCGAGGAGAGGGTACAGGGTGGGAGGAGGAGGAGGAGAGGAGGAGGAGGAGGAGGAGGAGGAGGCAGGAGGAGAGAGGTTCTGTTGGGAGGAGGAGGAGGAGGAGGAGAGAGGTTCAGGAGGGAGGAGGAGGAGGAATGGAGGGAGGAGGAGGAAGGATGAGGAGGAGGAGAGAGGTTCAGGTGGGAGGAGAGGGAGAGGAGGAGGAGAGGAGGAGGAGAGGTAGTAGGAGGAGAGAGGTTCAGGTGGGAGGAGGAGGAGGAGGAGTAGGATGAGGAGGAGGAGGAGGTATTGGGGGATGGTGGTGGAGGAGGAGGAGGATGAGAGGAGGAGAGAGTTCAGGTGGGAGGAGGAGGAGGAGGAGGAGGAGGAGGAGGAGGAGGAGGAGGAGGAGGAGAGAGGTTCAGGTGGGAGGAGGAGGAGGAGAGGAGAGAGGTTCAGTGGAGGAGGAGGAGGAGGAGGAGGAGGAGAGGAGGAGAGGAGGAGAGAGGTTCAGGTGGGAGGAGGAGGAGGAGGAGGAGGAGGAGGAGGAGGAGGAGGAGGAGGAGGAGAGAGGTTCAGGTGGGAGGAGGAGGAGGAGGAGGATGAGGAGGAGGAGAGGAGAGAGGTTCTGGAGGGGGGGAGAGGAGGAGGAGGAGGAGGAGGAGGACGGAGGAGGAGGAGGAGGAGGAGGAGGAGTAGGAGTAGGAGGAGAAGAAAAAGAAAAAAAAGAAGAAAAGAATGAAAAGAAGGAAAGAAGAAAAGAAGAAGAAGACGAAGAAGAACAGGAAGACAACAGGAGGAGAAGGAGGAGGAGGAGAAGGAAAGGGGGAAAGGTTCAGGTGGGAGGAGGTGGAGGAGGAGGAGGAAGACAGGAGGTAAGAGGAGGAGGAGGAGGAGGAGGAGGAGGAGGAGGAGGAGTAGGAGGAGGAAGAGGAAGAAAAAGAAAAAAAGAAGAAAAGAAGAAAAGAAGGAAAGAAGAAAAGAAGAAGAAGACGAAGAAGAACAAGAAGACAACAGGAGGAGAAGGAGGAGGAGGAGAAGGAAAGGGGGAAAGGTTCAGGTGGGAGGAGGTGGAGGAGGAGGAGGAAGACAGGAGGAAGACAGGAGTAAGAGGAGGAGGAGGAGGAGGAGGAGGAGGAGGAGGAGGAGGAGAGGGGAGTAAGAGGAGGAGGAGAAAAGGGAGGACACGACGACACCAACGACGAAAAGATGGCAATAGTGATGATGGCAGTGGAGAAGGAGAAAGAGAAAGAGAAGATGAAGAAGGAAAAGGAGCAAGAGACGTCGATGGACAAGGAAAATAAAAGAAGGTGGAGGAGCAAAACAAAAACAAAAAAATAAAATAAACAAAAAAAAAGGAAAATATCCTCGAAGGGAAAAATAAATTAGACTAAAGAAGAGGGGGAAAAACACACACACACACACACACACACACACACACACACACACACACACACACACACACACACACACACACACACACACACACACACACACACACACACAAACAAACACACACACACACACTCACACCCACCCACACCCACTCACACCCACACCCATACCCACACCCACCCACACTCAACCCCCCCCCCCCCCCTCTTACCTGTCCGCCACAACACCGAGAGTTACCGCCACTCACCTGAAAAAATAAAGAAAAAAAAATAAAAATTAAAATTAAAACACAACTATAAATAAAAAACGAACAAAACTTAATAGTCTAAATTAGCTCGTCATCATTACACCGACCGAAAGTAATTAACACACACGAAAAAAAAGAAAAGAAAAACAAACATAAAGAAAAACGTGATCATATTCATAAAACAAAATCCTGAGCAATTTGCAAACATCAAATAAATGCCAGTGATGATGAGGGTGATGATGGTGATGGTGATGATGGTGATGGTGAAAGAGATACTGGAGAAAGCGGGGTGAAGGGAAAGGCGATAACGATGGAGTGAAGATGACGATGAAGATGATAGAGTGATGGTTATGACTGAAGGTGAAGGTAAAAGTGATAACTGCTAACTGATGGCGAAAGTGACGATGGTGATGATGGTGAAGGTGAAAGTGACGATGGTGATTCATAGCGAAAGTGACGATGGTGATGATGGTGAAGGTGAAAGTGACGATGGTGAAATTGACGATGGTGATTCATGGCGAAAGTGACGATGGTGATGACTGATAGCGACGAAGATGCTGGAAATAATGTTATTATCACTACTTCTTATGATGATAATCACACAATTACCCACTAATCATCTCCATCGTTGCAACAGTCCGCCCTAAAGGGAACGCCCACGCAAGACGCAACGCCCGCTTCCTACTTCAACTGCACTCCTCCCTCTCCCCTTCCCCCTCCCCTCTCCCTTTCCCCCTCCCGTCCCTTTCCTTCCCATACCCCCTTCCCTCCCCCCTTCCACTTCCCTCTCCCTCTCCCCTTCCCCTACCTTTCCATTCCCTTCCCCCTTCCCTCTCCCCCTCCCCTACCCCACCTCTCCCTCCCCCTCCCCTTCCCCCTCCCACTACTACCTTCTACCCAACCCCCTCCCTCTCCCCTTCCCCTCCCCTCCCCCCTCTCCCCCCCTCCCCTACCCACCTCCTCTCCCTCCCCCCCCTCCCCCTCCCGCACACGCGCACCGGCGGCAGAGATCAAAGGCAGCCGAGGGTCAAACGAGATCAAGATCAACGCGTTGCGATTACCATAATACCTATCCATAATTAAGCAAAAAAAAAATAGTCATAATTCATAAGAAAAGAAAAAGAAAAGAAAAGAAAAGAGAAACGAAGAGAGAAGGAAATATAATCAGAGAAAAGACGGGGAAACAAATAGGTACCTTTCTTTGAATTAATATATCGAAGTGTTTTTGTTTTTTTTTACTAATATAACCACAGGTGTGGTGATCTCAGTGCTAAATGCGTCTGGACTAATTTGCATACGCTTGTAATGATGACCTCGGGCAAATGAAAACTACGATAAAATGTAAGAGAGCTTCTCTCTCTCTCTCTCTCTCTCTCTCTCTCTCTCTCTCTCTCTCTCTCTCTCTCTCTCTCTCTCTCTCTCTCTCTCTCTCTTTCTCTCTCTCTTTCTCTCTCTCTTTCTCTCTCTCTTTCTCTCTCTCTTTCTCTCTCTCTTTCTCTCTCTCTCCCTCTCCTTCTCCCTCTCCTTCTCCCTCTCCTTCTCCCTCTCCTTCTCTCTCTCCTTCTCTCTCTCCTTCTCTCTCTCCTTCTCTCTCTCCTTCTCCTTCTCCTTCTCCTTCTCCTTCTCCTTCTCCCTCTCTCTGTCTCTCTCTTCCGCTGTTCCTCTCTTCGACTCCTCATCCTATTTCCTCCCATCCTTCTCCCCCCTCCCTCTCCCCCTCCCTCTCCCTTCCCTCTCCCCATCGCCATCTCCCTTCCCTTCCCCCCCCATCCCCTCCCCCCCACCGCCCTTCAGTCGACACCGCTTCCCCGCTTCCTCTCCCACGCCCACCACTCGACTGACGGGCGTGACCGAGACCACGCCTTTGCACCTCCTCGCGGAAGAGGGAAGAGGGAGGAGGGAAGAGAAAAGAAGTAAGAGGACGGGGGAGAAGGGAAGATAGAGGAAGAGAAGTCAGGAGCGAAGGAGGAGAAGGGAAGGAGGGAAAAGAAGTCAGGGGCGAAGAGGGAAAAGGGAAGGAGGGAAGAGAAGTCAGGGGCGAAGAGGGAGAAGGGAAGGAGGGAAGAGAAGTCAGGGGCGAAGGAGGAGAAGGGAAGGAGGGAAGAGAAGTCAGGGGCGAAGAGGGAAAAGGGAAGGAGGGAAAAGAAGTCAGGAACGAAGAAGGAGAAGGGAAGGAGGGAAGAGAAGTCAGGAGCGAAGAGGGAGAAGGGAAGGAGGGAAAAGAAGTCAGGAGCGAAGGAGGAGAAGGGAAGGAGGGAAGAGAAGTCAGGGGCGAAGAGGGAAAAGGGAAGGAGGGAAAAGAAGTCAGGAGCGAAGGAGGAGAAGGGAAGGAGGGAAGAGAAGTCAGGAGCGAAGAGGGAAAAGGGAAGGAGGGAAGAGAAGTCAGGAGCGAAGAGGGAGAAGGGAAGGAGGGAAAAGAAGTCAGGAGCGAAGGAGGAGAAGGGAAGGAGGGAAGAGAAGTCAGGAGCGAAGAGGGAGAAGGGAAGGAGGGAAGAGAAGTCAGGGGCGAAGAGGGAGAAGGGAAGGAGGGAAGAGAAGTCAGGAGCGAAGGAGGAGAAGGGAAGGAGGGAAGAGAAGTCAGGAGCGAAGAAGGAGAAGGGAAGGAGGGAAGAGAAGTCAGGGGCGAAGGAGGAGAAGGGAAGGAGGGAAGAGAAGTCAGGAGCGAAGGAGGAGAAGGGAAGGAGGGAAGAGAAGTCAGGGGCGAAGGAGGAGAAGGGAAGGAGGGAAGAGAAGTCAGGAGCGAAGAAGGAGAAAGAAAGATAGAGGAAGAGAAGTCAGGGGCGAAGGAGGAGAAAGAAAGGAAAGAAAAGAAGTAAGTGGAGAAGAAGGAGAAGGGAAGGAGGGAAGAGAAGTCAGTGGCGTCTCTCTTGATGACAAGGGGCAGCCCTCGACACACGGCAGTTAAGGAAACACGCAGACGGCAAGCTCGAGGTTTGAGGGTGACCCTTGGCGATTGCTTTCTTGGAGGATGAGGAAGCCCGCAGAAGAGTGAGAGAGAGGGAGAAGGAGAAGGAGAAAGAGAAGGAGAAGGAGAGAGAGAGGGGGAGAAGGAGAGGACGAGATCCA